TACTTGGCATAAAGCTGTTCACAATCTGAAAGCTAGATTATGAAAATAATTTTTAATACTAGATTTAATTTAATCGAATCCCTTAAAGGAGGCAGTTTCACAGCCATGAAGCTTACCATTCCCTCTTGTCAGTGCTCCTCTACATTGTGTGAACTGTACACAATACTAATCGCAGTATCTTTTTAGGTATTCTTTCAGTATTATACTTCATTAAAAAAAGGTTATTTAATCTCCTTACACATACCTGTACAATCATCCTCAAACAACTGTTTAATCATTTCACACATTCCAGGCCAATTAAATTACATTGCTGATTTATTCAGAAATTTATGAATTTAACCCCTGAAGCGAATCAGAAGCATGCTGTCATATTTGGAAATTGGTTTCATTTAACTCACTCTCTGCATCCATTTTACTTCAGGCCCAAAGAAGCATACTAATATAGAATACTTCCTTATAAATCTATTCATTCTGAACAGTTTGAAGCAGTGTCTGTTTCTTGCATCTAATACTCAGCACTTCCATTCTTAATGGAACCTGCTTTTATCCTATTTAAATGAAATTTCCTTCAATCTGTTATATTTACTCTCAAGGAGACTCACTTCATGACCTACACTTAATAACCAAAGGTTATCTAATATCACAGACCTGGTGCCTTTCACCTAATAGACGTGCTTAATCTGGTTCCAAATCTAGCTCCTTCTTTTTCTCTTATGTTACATTGGGCATATGCATTTGAGTCTTCACAATGAACAATGCAAACATTATGAGGAACTTATATTGAAATGTATTTAATTTAAAAACTAGTACTAGTATGCAATTAAGTTCTGTATGTGGGAGAGATACTGTAAGAAAATACTTGTGATGCTGTTATCCTCCTGGCTGGCCTCCCCAATTGCCTAGTGTGTACTGTATACAGTACTGTACATGCATATATTTTCCACCTGCTTCTTTGCTCAATGTATACTGTGCTTTCTTTAGCCTCAATCTCTCTATTATTTCTTTTGGTCATTCTTTTCAACTTCTGTGCCAAATCATTATAATTTCCATTCACTCTTCTGCAAATGCCTACATATACTTCTGTTTCCCTGTGAGTAGAACCAGATATCAGAAAGCCCTAGGACAGCACCATCTCTGACCATCTTCTGCCACCTCCTGTAAAGCCATTTCAAACTCTTGTTCAAGCTGGTTAGCCTGGTTAGCCTTGTTCAGGCTATATCTTGTGGTCCATCCATTTTGGAAGCCTAATAACTATTATACGTTGTTTCCAGTGCATCGCAATACCTACTATGGATGATTAATCTTTATATATTTCTGATCTGCTACATTGTTGCCTTTCAGGTGTATTGTATTCCAATCCTTCACCTCATTTTCTTCAACCTGTGTATTTTTCATGACCTTACTAACTCTATACCTTATTGCATTATATTGTATTTGATTGTGTTTTACATTAATGTTTTACCGTGTTTTGTGATTTATGAATGTCTTTTGGTTATTAAAACAACAACCACCTCATCCAAGTTCCATGCCATGCAAAGGGCTCTCAGAAAGAAACCTACTTCATGTGACCATCCAATCTTCATCATTTCTTTGTTTGTTCCCTGTCGAGAGGTCACTATACATTGGTATGCAGTGTACTTTATACACTGTACTGCGATATACTGTACACCGGATCATTTTTATTAGAATTTACTTTTTGTATTTTACAGTATGTATACCTCTTATATTTTTCCTTACTTATTAGGTTTACTTATTATTCTAGCAAAAAAAATAATTGGTATGCAATTTGCATATGTCCTATCACGTATTTCATGAATTTTCTTTGTATTTTCTCTGCCAGAATATTGGTTGATACTCCCTTTCCTATGTTCATCTTACTTTGATTGTTTTCAGGAAGCAGCTAACAATAGGAATCATGGCTCCCACATTCTCAAAATTTTAATTCTGAGCTGCACATGCTGCATTTCAAAGAAATCAAATCTGTAATTAGCCTTATTACAGATGCTTAATCACTGTAGTTTATTTATCAATTGTATACTTCATTAATAAAGTGCTGTTTAAAACAATATTAGATTTTCTTTTCTTTTTACAAGTGTGGATCAAGTTTACAAGCACATAATAATGTTTATTCAGCAAGTGTACATAGTAATATATAAAAGCAAACAAGAAAAGGCCATTCAGTCCATCTTACTGCAGTGATAGTTAGCAGATTACAGATTCATTAGTCATCCCTAGCTACTTATTAATATTATTCCTTAGAAGAGAGATTGCTTAACATGTTTTTGAAGTATCTCCTTTTTTTTTCATAATGCCTAATTTTATTTTTGTTGTTTTTTAAAACTAGCTTTTGAATTGGACTTGACAGTAGTTCCAAGGAATTTCAAGTAAAGACAGGCATGTTTTGTATCATAAAGACAAGATAAAAACATTGATTGTATGCTATATGTAAATCCCAAAACTACATCACAGCACAGCTGTCTAAGCCATACAAATGATATCAGTATCCAACAAGCTTTCTAAAAGGATTTTTTTTTTAGTTTTTTGAGTGGAATCTCTTCCTACAGTATGTCTGTGACAATGTGAAAAGACTCGTCCTCTGGGGTGTGTTTACAAAATAAATTTAACCCTGATATGGCAGGTTTTTTTACAGAAAAGAAATGCAGTTGTGTAAAATGTAACTTTCTTTATTTTTATTGGTTTGTAATTTACAGTTTAACAATTCAAATTAAGTACAGCCATTGTTTTGCTATGTGTAAAAGACTCCAGTCACATCAAACGTGTTTTAATGTTGTAGAAACAGCATTAAATTTTCTAGAAAGTTTCAAAAGATTATTTTTATTTATAGAGGCAGTGATGAAGAACATGGCATCTTATTTCCAGGACTTTAAAGCATAAAACAGTACAAGGACATTTTTATTCATACAGTCTGACATGTGAACGATGCACACACATCATGTGTAATGTGTTGAGTTAATACAGTATGTCCATTGTACCTTACTAGTAGGAGAAAACACTGAGCTCTTATAAAAACTACAGAAAAAAAAACTTATATTGATATCATTTTCATGACGACACTACATTTATGCATAAAACAGCTAGCCAGTTCTTCACAATAAAAATACGAAACGGTCCATCAGATAATGATATACAGTATGGATCCAGTTTACAAGTACATAACAATGTTTATTCACCCGAAGAAGGCTCCACTACCGAAAGTTGTGTTTTCTTTTTTTTCTTTTCAGCATGGAATAAACGTATTACTTGTCATATACAGTATATACAAAAGGGTCAGACAAAATCCATCAATAAATAGCATATTTCATAAGCTCTGTAGAAATTTCAGTTTGAATAAATATTTTAATAATAAGAAAAATGTATCATATAAATAAGATGTCTTCAATTAAACTATGATGTTATCCCACTTTCATCAATTAGTCTTTAGAATGGCAAAATATTCAATAAGCAAATTAAATCAATGTTTAATTCCTTTTTCACAGAATCTAGCTCTCTACACACACTGACAATGAACTTTAGGTTTGCCAAACATCTCAGTGTAGCTTGTGATTTTATAAAGCATAACAGCATGAATATTAAAGTAAATGACATTAAAATATTTATTCAGATTTTCCTCAATACACATTGCATTATTAGTAGTGATGTTTAACTTACAGTACAGTATGTGCAGTGTAGACATTTGAATTGGTATATTAACTTAATATTAAATGCATATATTTTTATTCTTGCCATTTCCTTGTTTTCAGTTTCTAGTATTACCATTGTTGCTCCAGTGTATTTAAACTGCTTATATTATATATCTCCCGTTTTGTTTATTATGTTTATTCATTTAAACCATATATGTTGCTAAGCTTTTGAAATAGAACATGACATAAAAAAGGCAAAAAGGAAGTTTCTTCCACTCAATGAAATTTGTTACGTTGCATTCATGAGTTAGCTGGTAACTCCTACATGAAGTCATTATTCTTTGAGAAGAAATTCACACTTTGTTCCTTAGAGGGCTCTGTATGCTTTCCTGCAGTAGTGAAACAGTAGAGATACAAGAGGAGAGATACTGTGCAAGCTTCATCTCTGCTGTTAGTTGGTGCAAAAAACAAGGATTGCAAAGCAGCAGCAGTAATTCTTCTTAATTGCTCATCTTAATACTCGATGCAGATTTTGAGACAGGAAATGCCTGCTGAATTCTCATGGTTCCCTCATCCCAGAGCCTCTTGAGAATTTATGTACTGCTGTTCAGTTGAGTGCTGTAGTTCAGACTGGAAGGACAGAGGAATTTGTGCTCCTGCGTCAGAAAATCAAATATGTTTGTTAGATTGGAGCATTTCAGCATTTTCATGCTACAAGGTAAGTGTGTAAGTGTGTACATTTCTGCCAGATTATGTAGATCATTATAATTTTATATATTACCCAATAAGTGAAATTTTATAAATATTATAAATTATGTGAGTTTTTTTATCTTATCTCACATGTCTACTGCTGTATAGTGGGGCTATTACTTGTCAGCTGCTAATGGACTTTTATACAGATGACTGTTATGTGCGGTGTACTGTTGCAGTGCCTGTTGAGGAACTTCCTTTTTAAGAATCTAGCGAATAAAAGTATATAGTTCATCTAAGTGAACTTTCTTCACTGCAAAACTATGTTGCTCCAAAAGAGCAATTGGCTAACTTTAAGTTTAACTATAAGTGCAAAAGACTATATTAGTAAGCATACTGTTAATATTTTTAATTAGGAAGTCAAATGAAAAGTCTGGAGAGTTACCTATTCTTTCCTCTAAATAGGTGGCATTAAATATGTTATGTATGTTCTTGTATATTCACTGATGTTATATCTAGTCTTATTGACAGTTTTGAGATCTACAGTAACGTTGTTCAACAATGCACACCTAGTATGTTTGATTCTGAATGTTTACTTTTAAAATACATACACAATTCAGATTTAACAATGGGGATATCCAATAAAAATAAATAGATAAAGAATTGTTGGCAGCGTTCTCAAATTAGATTTTTTGCCTGTGCCCAGGTTCCCAATCAGCTTTTTCTAGGTATTTTTGGTACTTAACATGAGTTTAGTAAGCCACATCTTGTATCATAGAATATACAAGATGTAATCTTATCCCCATTGTCTATTTAAAGTAGAATGAACGTATGTTGTCATCTAATTCAATTATAATGCAGATACTTTGATTTGTGTTGAATTTATAAAGAGGAAATCCTGTTTACTTTCTACCTCCACAGTCACTATACAGTCTGCACAAAAACCTCAGAAGTACTCGTACTATTGTGTATGAAGGGAAAGAAAAGAATTTATGTTAATATTAGTTTACATTGCTACAACAATGACAGAAAGGAATCTGATTTCTTATCTTGAATCTTACTGATTTAGTAAATATGATCATATTCATTTGGATAATTAAGTTTTCCTACAAGATAGTAGTTTTTTTGCTGCTATATTGTTGAATAAAATCCACTTATAACATAAGACAACTCAATGGAATCATACAATTTTTTCTCCTTATGTGACACCATGCTGAATACTGTAGTTTAGGTGCTTGTTTTATGTGAAGTGTTATACGGCAAATTCTTGTACTGCATTACTATAACTGACACCTACTGGTGTCAGTATGTACTGGCATATTTGTAAGTCAAAACAATGAATAAAGATGTTTTACTGCTAATAAAAAAGTCACAATTTTCTGTCGAGATCTACAGTAATAGTAAAACACCTTACTTATCATAAAAAAAATAAAAATACATCTTGCTGTTTTGAATTTGATTCGCGCATGTGATGCAATCTTGGGACTTTTATTAAACTTGAATTGAATTAAAGATGCAGTTGTTGATTTCATATTACCGGAGCACCACTCAGAAGAGATTAAGGTTATTCCAGAACACAAATTCCTTGTCTGGACTGGTTTTAGTTATGATTGATGTGTCATATTAAAACCTTAGAAAAAAACATACATGTAATGAGAATCAACATCTTACTTTAATGGTCTACAACAAACACGTAAATTGAATTGTACACTTACAACAATAAACATAATATTATTATTTTCACATTTACTAATGTCTATACAACTAAATTAAATGTTTACTGCACTTTGATAGATGGATCCAATGGTAAGGTTCGTCTAAAAACTGCTAATTTAGAAACAGCAAACTACAATTAAGCTTCTCATCTGGGCCCTGAAGCATACAGAGCCCAGATGCATTTATTGCAGTGGTTTAAATTCATAATTGTAAATTCCTAGATTTATTCCTATGAAGGATTACCAGGTGTTTTCAGTTTTACACTCACACAGTATTCATATGGCTCTAATCAGTGTAAAGGGCAAACAGACTTGATATCCATTTGAAAAACCTTCAGAAGTAAGAAGCTGATTATGCAGTGTATCCAATTTGTCTGTTATTTTTTAAAATTACCTTAATATTATTTTGGATACTTTTTTTCTTTAGAGATTTATGTTGATCAAGATATATTACTTAGTATATGTATATACGACATAGTCTTGAAGTGAAATGCATGACTTATCAAAGGAAAACGGATACAGCGTATTTCTGAGACAAGTCTAGGCCTATTTTTTTCTTTTTTTATAATGGTTGATTCATTGCAAAAGAAAATGATAAGAGTCTAAACACCAAGTCTGATTCTTCAAAAGCAGAGCAGTTTCATGAGAATTAGTATGAATATGGGCAATGTTAGATCCACATCAGTGAGACATAAAAATGACTTCAGAGCTCATGTAGAATTCATATTATTTATATGTCTTTATTTTAATGTTACCAAATGCTTATTTTCTGGTATTTATTACAAACTATATCACAAAAAGTATGGTGTCAAAAGTAGTTTTTTTTACTATTGTTTACTTCCTACTTTTCCTTTTAATTATTCACAGTAACAGACCTGAAAGCCTGTACTATACATACTGTAAATCCAGGATGTCTTTGTGTTTTCTAGGATACTGTTAGTCTGGCTTGCCACACTCATGATAAAGAATAGGGAAATGGCTTTTTCCAAACTCTAATGTGAAGGAAGTATATGTAATTATGTCAGACAACAATATTATGAACTGCAGCATTGTGAAATAAGTGACAAAAAACATTCTGGAAGAGAGTCCAAAGATTTAACATGTTGTCAGTATAGACAAATAAAAAAGCACTGTATTTAAACATATGAACACAGAAACACATGATGTTTGAAAGTATTAAATTGCTATTTTATTTAACAATAAAAATAGTGATTCCTCATCCTTGCGCATGCATAGCAACATCTTTTGGGTATCATAACAATAAGAAGGCACAGGAAGAAAGACAGAAGAAGCGGTATGCACAAGAATATAAAAAGAAACACATTGGTTCCAAAATAGGTTCCAAAAATGGTGTTTTTTCTAGCTGTTTCTAGTATATACCGTAGCATGTTCTGAGTCATAATATCCCTTAAAGATCAATTTAATAAATATAATTAACAGAAAATACTAACTTCCAGAAGGAAATTGTATTATTTTTAAGGAGAAACTTAGTTACAGGTATATCTAACAATGTGCAATTAATTTTGTGGTATTTAACAATAAACATATTGGGGCATGGGAGTTCTTCAGATTTTGTAGTGTTGAAAGCCATCCTCAATCAAATCTGTTACTAATGCAATGTGCACAATTGTGCATTTCAATGCCAAGTGAAAACACATTATCTTGTTATTTACTAAATTATTTTAAAAAATATTTAAATGATTTAAAAAATGTGTGGTGTTTTGGATTTGCCTTAATCAAACAATAGTGATATATTTTATTAATCGTTTGAAGATTGTCTTAAGAGTTAAAAGTAATTTCCACATCAGATTGTGCTTTCATTGCAATTTCCTGTGAAAGGTGCAAACAATATTGCAAAGCTATTTTTGGAAGTTGTTTCACATTCAAGTGTAATCCAGTGTTAAAGTTATTCATAGTCAAGGGTATGCTAACTTTATTTGTTATTCTTATTTTTTTCTATTACTAAATGTAAAATATTATAAAGTACATCACACAATAGCTCATAGAGATATTTTATCATTTTTTTATCATTTAATTTTAATTTCTTACAGTTTTTCAGTTGTACTTTTTAAAGTTTATGCATTTAGAGTATGCTTAAATCATGATTACTTGCCAATATTCATAGAAATAGTGCAACATAAAACACATCAATGACAAAATACTTAGTCTGTATATATTATCAGTATTAAATGTAAAAAAATCAATGACAAAATACTTAGTCTGTATATATTATCAGTATTAAATGTAAAAAAATCAATGACAAAAGACTTCCTTCAAGGGTGGCACAGTGGCACAGTGGACAACACAGGGCTTCTCAGCACTGGGACTGTGAGTTCAATTTCTGGAGTGTTATCTGAGTGGAGTTTGTACTGTATGTTGCTCCTGTGTTCATGTGGGTTTCCTCCTTGTGCTCTGGTTTCCTCTTACAGCCCAAAGACATGCTGGTAGGTTAATTGATTTCTGTAGAATCAGCCTTGGTGTAAGTGTGTGCGTGTGTCCTGGAATGGACCACTATCCTGTCCAGGATGTTACCTGCATTGTGCCTGTTTCTTGCTGTGCTAGGCTCCGACATCCTCCACAACCCTGTATTGGCTAAGTGGATTAGAAAATATATGGGTAGATTTCCTTCAATGAATGAATGGCAAAGTTGGTTATCTGATTTATATCTAAAAAACAGATAATTGAATAAAAATAAGGGTGAAGAGTGGTAAAGCTATAATGCATAAAACAGAAGAATTACATTTCTTTGCAAGGAAAAAGACTCACCGGCTCTGGTTTTGGATTTGCAGTGAGTTGCAGCTTTGGGTGCACCATGGTCTACTTAAGGGTAGAAACAGACTTTGAGATACACTCTCCTTCTTAGAAAAAAACACACAGTAAAGTACAACTAAGGTATATTGTCATGCTGTACTTTACTTGAGCCATTTTAGTTCATCAATCAAAATACTGCTATACTTTATACAGTATATGCTACAGTATAAACAGTTCATGGTAATGTCTCATGAACTGAAGTCAGATCATTTGCCGCAAACTACCTACTGTGATTTGCATCAACACTCAAATGCATTCCAGCTCCCCAGACTGAAGGGGCCTCAGACACGATCAAAGAGGTTCTGCCTAGATCTATTTACCAGTTGATAATGTAATGCTGAGATATACCTGTAAGTGTTCTCACAAACCTTTAGTAGTTACAGAAAATAAAGGAGATCAATGGTTAATAAACATGAAATGAAGACATTCTGGGATCATTTTGAGATGTTATTTTGTTTTGACTTATTATCAGAATTATTTTGAAACCCCTGCTGCCATGTAG